TGTACCCGGACGACATTCTCATCTACTCCAAGAACATGAAGGAGCACGTGGAGCCTCTGCGGAAAGCCTTCGAGATCCTGCGGGAGAACAAGTTCTACGTGAAGCTGTCGAAGAACGACTTCGCCCTGAAGAAGGTGAAGCTTCTCGGGCACAAGGTGAGTGCCGAGGGCGTACACGTGGACCCGCGGAAAATTGAAGCCGTCAAGAAGTGGAAAGTACCGGAGAACGTCAAGGAGTTGCAGCAGTTCCTAGGCTTCGCCAACTATTACAACTGGTTCGTGCCGCAGTACGCTAAGATAGCAGCGCCACTGATCAACCTACTGAAAAAGGATACGCCCTACAAATGGGATACCCCTCATCAGCAAGCCATGGCTACAGCGTCAGTACTCATCTTACCGGATCCAGACAAAGACTACGTGGTGGAAGCAGACGCTAGTGACCAGGTAGTCGGAGCAGTACTGATGCAGGATCACGGACACGGTTTGCAGCCCATCGCCTACCTCAGTAAGAAGTTGCACGGAGCAAAATTGAAATACCCCATCCATGACAAGGAAGCCTTAGCGATAGTCATAGCCTTCAAAGCGTGGAGGTGTTATCTAGGTGGAGCGAATACTACAGTCTATACTGACCACTGCAGTCTCAAGTACTTGAAGTCACAGCCGACGCTCTCACGACGACAGGTGCGGTGGGTGGACTTCCTGGAAACTCACTTCCACTACGACATTGTATACAAGCCCGGGCTACACAACAAAGAAGACGCGCTAAGTCGCCCCGGTCATGTAGCAGGCATCCAACTCGACGGGATGAACCCTCTGCTCAAGGGTCTATTCCAACATGGGTACTCCGTGGACGCAGAGATTCCTACGGCAGAGAAACAGAAGCTGTCACAGTGGGAGAAATACTTAGCTATAAGGAAGGGTTCAGGGAAGATTTGGGTACCGAACTATGCCCCGCTCCGACAGATTCTGCCGGAGGAGTTTCACGACGTACAGTACGCGGGACATTTCGGGAGCAATAAGACGTTAGAAGGGATAGCGAAATATTACTACTGGCCCGGGATGGCAGCAGACGTGCAGCAGTTCGTCACCTCATGCAACACGTGCCAGCGGATGAAGAGTAGCAAGCAGAAAAAAGCAGGGTTACTTCAGCCTCTACCCGTACCAGAGCAGCCATGGCAAGTCGTTAACCTCGACTTCATCACGGGACTTCCTTCGACCTCACGAGAGCATGATGCTATACTCGTGGTGATCGACAAGTTCTCTAAAATGGGTCATTTCATCCCGACCAACGCCACGGCTATAGCAGAAACAACTGCTCGCCTCTTCTTTGACCGCATCATCACCATCCACGGCATCCCCGCTACACTCATCTCAGACAGAGACCCAAAATTCACTAGTAAGTTCTAAAAGGAGCTCATAGGATTGTTGGGGACAAAGCTTGCAATGTCTTCAGCATACCACCCCCTGACTGGGTGGTTTGTTGGGGCCCTGTTTGGTGGCTGAATGTGAGGATCTAGGATCCACCTGGGTAAAACACGAGGCTATATATAGTCTCGACACAAGGCAGGTAACCCAGGTGTTACGCGGATAATCTGAGGGTCGCGAAGCGTCCTGAACAGAACCTTCCCGAACTCGGTAGAAAGCAATTCGGTGGGAACCGAAAAGGCTTGAGTTCGGTCCACGTAATCTGGTTCGGTACTATAACTATAATAGAATATAGGAATGCACCTAACCTAGGAAATCAAGCATATCTATGCATGATAAATAAAACCTAAGCTAGTAATAGCATAATAGAGTCCAGGCAAGCTAGCAAAGCCAGCATAAGCCGTCGTACTCTCACACCTCCCCCCCTCAAAGCTGGGTGGCGTGAGATACACCCTGCTTGACAAGATAGTCATTGAGAGCACAGCGTGCATTGCCCATATCAGCTTCTGCAACCCAACTGTCCTCCGATGGGCCGTATCCCTTCCAGCGTATCAGGAGTCACTCTCGCCGCAGCAGCTTCGCGAGTGGGCTGTCCAGTGGGGCAGTCCCGGTGGTGGAGCTGGAGGTACTGGTTCAGGGGGTGCTGTTACTACTGGAGCTCGAGGTTCTGGGGGTGCGACTACTCAGCCTCAGCCGTCTGCACTTCGTCACCTTCTCAGTCTACCGCCTGCTGTTACTGAGTTCCCTCTTGCTGGCACTACTCCTCCGTTACTGTTTCCACCACCTGACTAGTCTCAGCCACATCTATTGCCTCACTCCCCACTGCCTGCTCCTGCTCCTTACACTGCGGTGACAGAGTCCCTCACCGAGAGTAGAGAGCGTGCATCACATCCTGTCACGCCTGTCCGTACTCGTCGTGCTGTGCGTCCTCGTCCTCCACCTGTCCCTGGCACGCACATCATGGCGTCCTTCCTCTGTTCCACAGTGTGTTGTCCTGCCGTTGCCTCCAGCGTCATCTCTTCCTCACGTTCCTGACCCTGAGTCTGACCTTGTCCGTACTGCCAGTCCGACTGTCA